AATCAGGGCAATATGCAAATTAACTGCCAGCCAAGATGGCAGCTGGCAACAGGCAGCTTGAAGCGAACATGAGGCTTGTTTGCTCCAGTGATGGAGGACTCCAACTTTCCCTGGCTGCTGCTGCCAGCCTCTAAGCTTGCAGTTTGAATCATTGTTACAAATATAGAAGCTAAACAAAACCCCAGAAACCTGTTTTCAGCCAGCCATGATCTCAGAGCTGGAGTTGAAACAGTGTTTCGACTATAGAACCCAAACAGACCAGATACCTGCTTTCAGCAGCTGAGGCCTCAGAGCTGGAGCCAGGCCTCAGAGCTAAAGCTGGCCCAGAATAAAAAAAAGAAAAAAAGGAGTGGTTGGGAGCTTCAGTCACCCGCCAGCATGAAAACAGCCCTCAGCCCCTCACCCAGATTGGCCAGGCACCCCAGTGGGGACCTCCACCCTGAAGGCGATGTGACCAGCTGCAAACAGCCATCAGTCCCTCTCTCAGGCTGGCCAGGCACCCAGGCGGGACCCCCACTCTGATCCAGGACACCCTTCAGGGCAAATCAGCTAGCCCCCACCCGTGCACCAGGCCTCTATCCTATACAGTAAAAGGGTAATATGCCTCCTAGCACCAGGATCAGCGGAGCCGCAAGTCCTCCCGGCACCGGGATCAGCGTGACAGGAGGCAGCGCCCAAACCCACTGATCGCCCTGTGGCTCTGTGTGTGACAGGGTGTGGGGCCACAACCTCCCTATCTGCCCTGCTCTGTTCGTGACAGGGGAAGGCGCCCCAACCCCCTGAGCAGCCCTGCTCTGTGCCTGATAGGGGGGAGCTCCCCAACCCCCTGACTGCCCTGCGGCTCTGTGTGTGACAGGGTGCGGTGCCCCAACCCTCTGATCGGCCCTGCTCTGTCTGTGACAGGGTGCGGCACCCCAACCACCCCCCATGGGCCCTGCTCTGTGTGTAATGGGTTAGAGCCATAACATCCCCATTGGCCCTGCCCTGAGTGTGACAGTGGCGACGCCCCAACCCCCTGATCGTCCCTGTTCTGTGGGTGATAGAGGGCGGTGCCCTAACCGACCCCCCCCATGGGCCCGGCTCTGTGTGTGACGGGGTAGAGCCATAACCTCCCCATCGACCCTGCCCTGAATGTGAAAGGGGGCGGTGCCCCAACGCCTCAAACAGCCCTAGCCTGAGCGTGTCTGAGGGTGGTATCGCAATCTCCCGATCTGCCCTGCTCTGTGCATGGCAGGGTGCGGTGCCCCAACTCCCCAATCAGCCCTGCTCTGAGCCCGACCAGGGGCTGCACCTAGGGATTGGGCCTGCCCTCTGCCACCCGGGAGCAGGCCTAAGCCAGCAGGTCATTATCTCCCGAGGGGTCCCAGTCTGGGAGAGGGCACAGGCCGGGCTGAGGGACTCTCCTCACCCCCCACCCCCGAGTGCACAAGTTTTGTGCACCGGGCCTTTAGTCCTATCTAATAATAGAGAAACATGGTAATTAACCATAACTTCGCTACCCTTCCCATTGGCTAATCAGTGAGACATGCAAATTAACTGCCAACCAAGATGGCGACCGGCAGCCAGGCAGCGGAAGCGAACATGAACATGAGGCTTGCTTACTCCAGTGATGGAGCAAGTCAGCGTTCCCCGCCTGCGGCAGCCCAGCTCTGAGCTCCGGATGAAACAATGTTGCTATTATAGAACCTAAACAAACCCCAGAAACCTCCTTTCAGCCAGCGCAGCCTCAGAGCTTAGAGCAGCCAGTGATGGCAACAGAGTTTCAATTATAGAATCTAAACAAACCCAGGTACCTGCTTTCAGCTGGCAACAGCCTCAGAGCTGGAGCCTGCTCTCAGCTCCAGTGACAGCTATAGACTGTAAATTAATCCCAGAAAAAAAATGAAAAGAAAAAAGGAGAGGCTGGGAGCTACAGTCGCCCACTAGCCTGAAAACAGCCCTCAGCCCCTCACCCAGACTGGCCAGGCACCCCAGTGGGGACCCCCACCCTGAAGGGGGTGTGACCAGCTGCAAACAGCCATCATCCCAGCATCCAGGCTGGCCAGGCACCCCAGTGGGGACTCCCACCCTGAAGGGGGTGTGACCAGCTGCAAACAGCCATCATCCTATCATCCAGGCTGGCCAGACACCCAAGCAGGACCCCCACCCTGATCTGGGACACGCTTCTGGGCAAATCAGCCAGCCCCCACCCGTGCACCAGGCCTCTATCCTATCTAGTAAATGGGTAATATGGAAACTGACCCTAACAGCAGAAGGACTGGTCACTATTACACACACTGACCACCAGGGGGCAGACGTTCAATGCAGAAGCTGCCCTCTGCTGGTCAGGGTGCTCTCACATGGGAGGAGCTCTGCTCAGCCACAAGCCAGGCTGATGGCTTCCAGTACAGCGGTGGTGGTGGGAGCCTCACCTGCCTCCTCAGCAGCGCTAAGGATGTACGACTGCAGTTTAGGCCTGCTCCCCGCTGGCAAGTGGACATCTCCCGAGGGCTGCCGGGCTGCCAGAGGGATGTCTGATTGCCATCTTAGGCCCAATCCCCTGGGAGAGCGGGCCTAAGCCAGCAGGTGGTCATCCCCTGAGAGGTCCCAGACTACGAGAGGGCACAGGCCGGGCTGAGGGACCCCCCATTCCCCCCGAGTGCATAAATTTTTGTGCACCGGGCCTCTAGTGTATCTATATAAACGCCTAAGCGACCGTTATGATAGAACTACTGGAACAACTGGTTGACCAGTCACTATGATGCGCACTGACCATCAGGGGGCAGATGTTCAACACAGGAGCTGCCCCCTGTTGGTCAATGTGCTCCCAAGGGCAACCTTCCACGGCCGACCAACTTCCCCCAGACCCTCCTCAGTCCCTTCCCAGCCCCCAACCAACCTTCCACATTTCCTCCTCCCATTCCTCTCCCGGGCCAGCAGGCATGATCAGCCCAGCCCCAGTTGGGACTGGAGTGAGAGAGCCCCAATAGGCCCTGATCATTGGCCAGGCCTAGGGACCCCACCGGTGCATGAATTCATGCACCGGGCCTCTAGTTAGCTTATAAAAACCAGGTAAGCATCCATGCTTCTCTAACTTCTTTTGCTAAAAGTCAGAGCTTAGTTTCATGCTCAAGTAACTTACTACCCTAGCCTCATTTTTGTGTATAGTCCTTTTTTGTTTACCGGGGCTTGAACATTTTTGTGATATCTTTGCCTTGTAGTAAACTATATCAACTCTTTCATGGAGGTACACAGAGAAAAGATAATAAATGAATGCAATGCTTACTCTTTTCCAAATCCCTACCTTCACTGTTAAGCTGAATACTTTTTAATGACTCTAGTAGAGAGTAAGCTGCCAGCTACTCCTTCAATGAAGTACTTGCTACCCAACTCATAGAAATAATTGGCAAAAGCCTCCTGCTGTCTGTCCCTTCTGGAACTGCCTCAGTGGCAGAGAGCTGCATTATCCAAGATCACCTTTCTTCCTGGGACAATCTACAAACAACAACGAATCATTGAAGGAGTACAAATTCCAAGTCATCTCAGCACAACTTGGGACATTTCTCATTTTGAGTGCCCAATGAGGTTGTACAAATTTGTCATTGGTTTTTCATTACAGAATAAATTCTCTGTCCTGTGACTTGGCATTGCAACCTGGAAGATCTTCTGGCATTAGAGGTGTTGATGATGATAAAAGATGTCATGTAGATATCATGGCAGGCACTAATGAAAGAATCATAACATGATTACTGGGGGCATAGAGCAAGACTCTACCATCAGAATTGTAGCCTTTTTAGAAATAATTCTTGACATACTACTGGATCTAGTATAGGTGAAGTGAATGATGATGGGGTACCAAGTCACAATTGAGCCACAGCTGTTGGTCATGAACTAGAAACTGTCAAACCTACTAAGTTACAAAGTGGGAAGAACCCTTTAACTACTGATTGAGGGTTCTAAGTAGTGCATCCGGGATTAAGATCAAGCAGAATCAGAGAGTCCAGGTGAACTATGCAAGCAGATTTCCAAGTCCCCCGTGACATTCACCAGTTTTGCCCCAGAACCTCTTTACCGGATCACAGCTATGGCCACATAGAGTATCCTTCCTTATACCCAGCAAATGGAGGAAGGCAAAGCACAAGATTTCTCCATGAGTGTCAGTTCGGTATATGGGTACAATCTGAAATCAGACAGCAGCTGCATTCCAGCCCCACTCAAGGAGGACTTTGGAAGAGAGTAAGGAGAAAAAATTCTCCCGATGTACAGAGTCTCAGTTGGAGCACTTGGTTATACATGTTGTATAGAAATATAAGCGACACAAGTTTCAATATATCCAGATTCAAACACAGTGACAAATGACTTGGCCAGATGATCCGGGGCCTGGACGAAGAAAGATAGATGAAAATATAGGAAAAAATAGCTCTGGGAGTAGAGGCATGTAGAATGGACATATGGAAGAGAGCATGAAGCATGAAAACATTTGACTTGCATGCTAATATTCACTAGTGGCTAATAACTATGAATAGTGTCATGTGGGCACTAGACTTATCAAGGTGATCAATTTGTAAGTTATATAAATGCATAATCACTTTCTACACCTGAAACCAATATAATATTGCATGGCAACTGTAATTGAAATTTTAAATAAATAAATAAATAAATAAATAGGAGTACATCTATTAAAAAAGAAAAGAAAACTTTTGTCCCCTACCACTGTCCCTTAGTACTCAGTAATTCTTAGCACCAGGAGTATAACAGAGCAATTAACTTCTGGCAGTGGTATAAATTTAGGCTTGTTAAAACAAGGATTATTAATATTCTCTCATTATCACCCTGACCTAACTTAACCAACCATAAAGTACAATAACATAGAGACCTGTAATTTTGTGGCTTAGATGAAATGCCCAAAGAAAGAGACAGAGGAGAGAGAAGAGAGAGAGAGGGAGAGAGAGAGAGAGAGAAACATAGTATGAGAGCCTAATAAAGTGAAATGCAGTAATCATATTTTATTTTCTTATTTAAAATATATAGAACACTCCACGAATTTGCGTGTCATCCTTGCACAAGGGCCATGCTAATCTTCTCTGTATTATTCCAATTTTAGTATATGTGCAACTGGAGTAAGCATGCATTAATCATATTTTAAAGAGCTGGAGTTTTGCATTTTATTTTAAAACCAATAGCTACAATGATACGGTAATGACTGTGATAACTTCTTACACTCTGTGATGACATTGTGCTCATAATAGATGGCTATTAAAATTCCAGAAGCCTCAGCTCTAGCTGATCTTTGGCTTAAAAAGAAAAAAAGAAAGAAAAAAAAAGAGATCCTCTCAGCTTTTCAGCTATAAAAAAAGAACCCCAAAATATTTAATGTGTCAGTGAAATTTAGTGCCCTTATCTGTCTTGGAGGTGGTGTTATGGCTGAAGAACTGCGCTTCTCTCACATGCATTTTAAAGAAGCAAGATAAATCTGCCAAGTCAAGGAGAGAAATGGGGAATTATAGGGAAAAACATCAGCTTTTAAGACTTGAGTTCAAAACTAAGTTTTGCCTCTGATGTGCTACTGAACTCAGTAAGTCTTAACTTCTCTGTTTCCTCCTCTGTAAAATAGAGATAAGATGATGACATCATTGGATTCGGATCTTTACCCCAGAGGTTGGCATACAGTATTAGTAGGTATCTAATACATTTAAATGGTGGAGTAATTATATTAGACTAGAGGCCTGGTGCATGAAATTCATGCACTCAGGGGTGGGGAGTCCCTCAACCCAGCCTGCACCCTGTCGCAGTCCAGGAGCCCTCAGGGGATGTCTGACTGCCAGCTTAGGCCTGCTCCCACAGGGGGAGCACCTCTAAGAATTACTGAGTACTACGGGACCGTTGTAGGGGACAAAAGTTTTCTTTTCTTTTTTAATAGATGTACTCCTACTTATTTATTTACTTATTTAAAATTTCAGTTACAGTTGCCATCAATATTATATTTGTTTCAGGTGTAGAAAGTGAGTGTGCATTTATATAACTTACAAATTGATCACCTTGATAAGTCTAGTCCCCACCTGACACTTATTCATAGTTATTACCCATTAGTGAGGACGGGGAGCGGGCTTAAGCTGGCAGTCAGACATCCTTAGTGCTGCTGCGGAGGTGGAGGCTCCCTCCACTGCCTCTGGGCTTGCCAGCCATAAGCCCGGCTTCCGTCTGAGTAGTGCTCCCCCTGTGGGAGGGCACTGATCACCAGGGGGCATCTCCTGCGATGAGCGTCTGCTTCCTGGTGGTCAGTGAGTGTCATTGCAACCAGTTGTTCCCATCGTTCGGTCAATTTGCATATTAACCTTTTATTAATTGGATAATTATATCAGGTATATTAAGTATCCAGCACATAGTAGGAACTGAGTAAATGGTGACCATGATCTTTTTTTTAATGTATCAATTACTATTACTTATTGGTGTTGGGTCAGCAATATTTCTGTGAGGGAAAATGTAAAGCTTTTTCAAAAAGTCAAATCACACACACAAATTAAAAAACAAGGGGAAAATCAGGTCAGAATCAATTGCTTTGTATGTATATTGCTGTAAGCTAATTATTTAATTCATGCTTTCCCCCTGTTTAATTTTTTTTTTTTACTGCAGGATCAGACAATTAATACACTTAATGAGGCAAAGAAGCATTGCAGTATACCTGAGCAATTAAAGCCCTGCCATTCAGACACTAATAAAACCTGCAATTGTCTCCTTTCTGCCTGGAAGGACAACTTTATAGTTTATTGAACAAGTAAGATTTGATTCAGCTCTAGCTCTTCTCTCAAAAGTCTCTGCACTTTGCTGTCCTCACCTAACTCTTGGCAAGGATTTTTTTGAATAGAAAGAAACACAGTCAATATTACCAGGGCGCATCCGGGTTCAGTGCATTCTCCACGCATAAGTGCTATTTGTGATCATCCCAATGAAACAGACTCTCTTACTTGCTGCTCTTTGCCAAAATTTGCTCTTGTTTCCTTTCCTCAATATGAAACAAATTAGGTAGCATGCAGGGACAGCTATGCTGTTTACTCCATCCTAAATGTTGCATCCTGTCCTAGTAATAAAGTCACCTCCTTTACCAGACCATGAGACTGGCAAATCCTCACCTCATCTAAGCATACATATATGATACAAGGAGAATGGAGAACATGAATGGGCCTGCTTTTATTTTGAACTTTCTGATTCAGGTACCTTTGCAGTACTGTGCACAGCGCTACGTTCCCTGGCCTGAAGGGTGTCTGGAAAACTGCAGAGGAAGCTCAGAAGAGTGCCATCAATCGACTTTAAGTGTATAGATAAAGCTAATGGAGCTGGACTTCTGCTTCCAATTAAGCAGGCTGCCAGGAGGATTGGGCAGTGTGTGAGTAAAGAATGTCTCAGAACATGGTGACACGTGCCCTGTGTTCTCAGCACAGAGTAGAAGGAAACCGGTTTAAATGGCAGAATAAAGGGCTCGGTGAGGGTTGTTCAAAGCTAAATGGGTTCTCTAAGGATGGGATTTCCAGTTACTTGTGAGTGAACTAAGTTCTTATGTGCCCTGGGGATTTGAGGAGATCTGTGTAGCCTGTTCCCTCTCTGGTGGCTTTTTAATCCTATGGGTACAGTATCGGTGCAGAGAAAAATAAGAAAAAGAAGAATATGGGGAAAGGGAGAAGAGGAAGGGGGAAAGGGGGAAAGAAGGAGAAGTAAAAGGAGCAGAAGAAGGAGGAGAAACCAAACTCAGATTCCTCAACATTAAAAAAACAAAAATGCCTGCTTCTTCCCGGGCCAGGATGCAAGACATAGAAAACCACGTGTGGACATTGAACTCCTCCGATCCACCAGCCAAAGCTGCACTGTCTTCAGTGGCCAAGACGGTTAGGAATCCATCCTATCTCAGACCACCGACAGCAAATGCTTCAGGTCTCCGAAAAAGCAAGCAGCCCAACTCCCCGTGACAAAAAACAGCACCCACTAACAAGGAAATGACCCTCATTGTCATTCCTCCGGCTGGAAAGAGCTCGTGGCACAGAACAATTATGTGAGCATTAAAAAAGGCACACACACAAGCAGCATGTTTACACACTCATCTATTAATATCAATTCCGGGTGGAAGACAAGCCTGTAGAAAGCAGAAGTGCCTGAAATTACCAATCAAAAAGCAGCCCCGTCAAAATCTCTCTCCTCGTCTAAAAAGATAAGCAAACATTTCAATAGCAGCTTCATAATGACCACATCTTTTCAGCCACAGCAGGTTGCCGCCTGGTCCCCGCAGGAAAATGACAAATGAATGCTGTTAAATATTTTGCTTGAACAGTTTTTTTTCCTTTCAGAACTATTTGCAATACGATAATGAGAAGAGCAGAGCTGCAGAGAGTAGCATTTTGTAAGGATGACTACCTTTCTAGGGCATATCATCTGATACACACTTTGTTTATCCAGAGTGAATTCAGTGGTTAACATGATTAATTGAACCCATTTTGGGTTACTCATACCAGCTCTTGCAAGGGAGGTGATTGCTATTTTTTTTTTTTCTTAGTGACTCATACAAAGACGCCAGCAGTATTCTGGCAATAACAAAATGACATTCCTAAATTTAGCAGTTCATAAATCTTTTAAGATGCCAACCACATCGAGTTCTCCCCTCCTCCAGGCTCCTCTCCCAGAACTTGCTCATATGTGCAAAAGACCTAAATGTGTAGGGAGACAAGAAAGAGACTTCCTCAGGGCACAGCTCCCTGTTCCTTCCCTCACTACCTACCAGCACTCTGGTCAGAGCAATGTGTATATTTCCCCAGTGATAGCTTTTATCATCCCATTAAGATGCTAACTCTGTCTGGTAAAAACATACACAGAATATGTGCATGTTTCCAAAAGAGTCCAACTCAATGAATTATTTCCAGGGGGCACTGTGGAAACAAGCACATTTTCTCCTGTCCTTTTATGTTATCTACTCTGTGACATGAAATATGCAGTGACTTCACAGCCTCAGGAAATGAAATTTTCTTTGCTTTTATCATTTTCTGTGGTTAACAGAAGGCACTTACCAAATGTATCTGCCCTGCTGATGTCCTTTTTCCCACTGTTCCGAGACTCCAGGGCTACCATTGCCACCCAGAACTTTTACCAACATATGAATCACACAGAGAGTGTGCAAACAAGGGGATGTAAGAGAGTTAGAGTTGGTGTACTGAGCATCCAAATGGCTATAAAAAGAGATTTTTGAGCAAAGAGACATAGAGGTATTGTTTTTAAATAGTTAGCTAATTTTAATCCTTCCCTCTCAAACCTCTTCGCCATGTAGATCTACCCATCATTGAATGAAAGCACACATTGGTTACTGTCTACTTGCAGTGACTTTCTACAAGTACATCTGATAATCTTTTTGCCTCTCCTCCATTTTTCTTCACAGACCCTGTTCAAAATACAACTCTTCACAGGTCAATTACAACAACAAAATTATCACTTAAGAGTAAATGCAATCAGTAAATGCAATATGAGATGAGCACATCAAAAGGTCAAAATTAACAAGAAAATTCTTTATAAAAGCTGAGCTGTAGAAACACAAAGCTTTATTTAAAGTAGGAAAGGTACATTTTGAGATTGTACATCCTTATGTCAAGGGATTCTCAGTTATTCTCTCTTTTTCTTTTGTCTGGTGTGCTTACTGTTTATATTACACAAAACAGAATGTTCTATATTTTGGAGCAGTTGAGCCGAACACACAATTCTTGACTTAGATTATCTGAGAAAATAAATTTCAAAAAAGCAGATAGAGTTTGACATATGAGGCCTGGTGACAACTTAGCTAAGTATCTCCATGAAAAGCATGTAAACGCCACTGAATCGACTGAATTCCTGTGCCTCTTCATCAGTTAGGCATTTGGAAAACTAGAACTACTATGACAATGAAGGCATCTTAGTCAAGTGTCCCTTCTGGCTTAGGGAAAAAATGTAATCAAATTTTCAATGGGGGTAAAGGTAATGGTTATCAGTATAAAGCAATGAGGTCAGATTCTACTTCTACAAAGAATTAGATAATTTTCAGGCTCCCTTCTGAAGATCCACTAGGGATAAATAGAACTCCCAATTATTTTTAAAGATAGAATGTAAAGGACAAATCCA